AAAATTTCTCGAGCATTAAAGAATGGGTTTAGTTTTTACAGCCGGAGTTAGGAGAATATTCTGGTAAGCCAAGGAGATTGACCCTGATTACTGTAGCGGATCAAGGAGGATTATGGGTACAAAGAAAGGTGGGAGATAACTCAATATGAAATTCCAATCTAGATAAAAGTAGCACCTGTGTCAAATATCATTTTACAGAGTGTGAGTCAGAAGGATATTTTTGTACAAACGACTCTAATGCACGAAGTGTTCGAGAAAAGGCACTCTGATAATAATAATAATAATGATAATGGCAGAAATCACAGATTACCCCGCAGTATCTATTGGCTATGGTAAGTGGACTTATAGTGTATTACCCTGCAACTGGAAAGGAAGCTGTTATCTAGGGTGAATACTGCCTCCCTTACAATAAGAAATGATCTACCTAAGGGAAGACTGAGAAATCGAAGAGATGTTAACATTAAAACCAGTACAACTGAAAAGGTCATTCTATCCACGTTTCCCAGGTAGGAGTGGGATTGGCTTTAACTAAGACAAATCAATTAGCCAAAGTATTAGATAATGCCTTGAATTACTCCAATGATGCTATCTCGAAATTAAATGCCGAACAAATCCAATTAGAATGATGGTTTTACAGAACAGAATGGCCTTGGGTTATATTTTAGCATCAAAAAGAGGAGTGTGTGCTTTAATTAAGGAGCAATTCTGTATATTTATAAAAGACAGAACTGGTGACATAGAAATGAACTTAGATAAAATTGGACGAATTCAGAATAAACTACGTCAAGTTAATGGAAAATGGGATCTATTAGATCTTGAAAGATTGCTGTGTTCACTTGGAGCAAAACCGGTGACTGGTTTGATTGTGGCTTTGTTTGTCATTGTATGTGTCTATGTTTTCGTTCTTCTAACTAAGGCGCTGATTGTAAAGTGTACTGGCACTAGCCATGAAATGCCTTTATTGGAAGGTGAAGAATTTCCTAATTTAAAAGACCTGGAAACTCTGGATAATGCAATGTATGATGATTCACATGAACAGAAATTAATGAACACCTGGATCACTATCCAACGAACTCCATCTGGTCACGGAACAATTTATTAATTGATTCATTAACAGGATCTGTTAAGAATAAAAAAGGAGGACTGTGAATGTTGAGAAAGTGCCTTAGCTCCCCAGCAGCCATCTTATTTTTATTCTGTGTGACTTTGTGTGCTTGAAGGGTTAAATTTTTTATGTGTGTTTTATGATATTTGCTCCAAGTAGTTATATAAGAAACTGGTTTTTCTATTCAATTATCATAAAGGAAGCCGGTAAAGGTGTGTTATCACCTTAGGGTGAATGGTCAGAAGTGACTGATTCAGAAGTAAATGGAATTGACCATACCAGGATTAGTGGGTTTAGAGGCAAATAATTACAGGGTACTGTGTTTTTATTACATACATCCAGATACTGGTCTTTTGTCACTATGCTGTTTCTGGCACATAAGCTGTGTTATTTAACTGTATATAAGCTATGTGTTTTTCATATAGAGGAAGGCTATATGGGGGTTCTCTCACTCTCAGTAAAGGAATCTGCTTATTAAACTCTTGTGTGAAGAACCTGTGTTTCACGTTATTGAGCAATATCACATCAGCAACACAAAATGAGTTTCAAAGTGAGTTTCAAACTTAACTTGAAATTAGCCGAATTGAAACTAAAGCTAACTTAGAAAAGTTTTACAATTTAAGTTTGTTAGCCTAAATTTTGAAATGTTACTTTGCATTGGCTTTGCTTTCCAGCAATTCACATGTTAGTGAATGAGCTTGTAAGTCTGTTTTTTTGTTTGTTGTTTTTTTTTTTTCTTAACTCTTTATTTCAGTTGTGCAAAGTTGATACAAAAAGGTCTGCAAACATATTATTAGCCGTAGCATAAGAGTGGTATGGCTTTTAGGAGCACTGCACATTTTAAAAGGAAACAAACAATAATAAAACCAGCAGCCTATACGTCACAGCAATGAACATTTAGAACTACAATATGTGGTGGTAGGCATGAAGGCATGAGATTTGTTGAAGATAGGGACTACTGGGTCACAATGCAAGGTGAGCATATCCCTTGAATTGAGACAAGACTAATACTTATAAAAAGAAAAGAAAAACAAACATCTGCAAACAGGATATGTAAATCAAATTGGGTAATGGGGGCATTGCGGGCATATGAAAGTCCCAAAATAAGAACTAAACTGTTGTCTTGCATGGGAGTGCTCACTTATCCAATGTTTTCATTTGGCTGACTCAGGAAACTTATAGTAAGAGAATACGAGAGTATGGTGGAAGGAGTGTAAAGGGGGACATCCCTCCAACCCTAGGCTGCATCCGTAGTCCACTGACTCAGGGGCTCAAAGAGTCCAAGTCATTCTCTGTTAGAGAGAGACAGAGAGCCCAGGTGTGCACTGCTGATGGGAGCGGTCGGTCTCCTGTCCTTGTGGGTGATGCATAGGGTTCTCACCCCGGTTAGCCCTCGCCAGTGGTGTATCCTGGTTTTGTGCTGCCCAGACGCCCTCCTCCCCCTGCGCCACCCCCACCCAACCCTTCCCCCCCGCCCCACCTTCTAAATACACACACACACAGTCAGACACAAACACACACACACAGTCAGACACATACACAGACACACACACAGTCAGACACAAGCACACACAGTCAGACACAAACACACACACAGTCAGACACAAACACACACACAGTCAGACAAACACACACACAGTCAGACACAAACACACACACACACACAGTCAGACAAACACACACACAGTCAGACACATACACAGACACAAGCACAGTCAGACACACACACACACAGTCACAAACACACACAGTCACAAACACACACACAGTCAGACAAAAACACACACAGTCAGACACAAACACACACACACACACAGTCAGACACAAACACACACACACACAGTCAGACACACACACCCACACACACAGTCAGACACAAACACACACAGTCAGACACAAACACACACACACACAGTCAGACACAAACACACAAACACACACACACTGTCAGACACACACACAATCACTCACATTAACTTTTTTTTTTAATTTAAACCCCCCCCCCCCAACCTCCTTACCTTTGGGAGTGCTGGGGGGGAGGTCTCTCTCTCCCTGGTTGTCCAGTGGCTGCCGGTCGGGATGGGCGGTGCTGGCTGCTGTGCCGGCGGCTGGCGAGGGAGCACTTCCTCTGAGCGGTCTGCTCAGCTCCCTCGCGCGCCGCATAGTGAGGCTGGGAGCGGAAGATGACGTCATATTCCGGCTCCCAGCCTCACACATCGGCGCGCGAGGGAGCTGAGCAGACCGCTCAGAGGAAGTGCTCCCTCACCAGCCGCCCGCCCGCTCGGCATATTAGTTAGCCACGAGGCTAACTAGGCATTTGCCCTGGGCATTTGGGGGGCGGCGTTTTTTGCTGACCCCTGAAAAATGCCGCCCAAGGCAAATGCCTTGTTTGCCCTGCGGCTAATATGTCCCTGGCCCTCGCCCCAGGTGGGCATTTAGTGCTTGAGATGCAGGAATGCGCAGAGGGAGTTTATGCTCCTTCTGCATCTATCCTCTCCATGCGGTAGTTGGTACATCCAGGCTGCTTGCTGTGCAGCTAGGGTAGCCCAAAAGCGATCAAAAATAGCATCCAGTCACTTGAAGGTCATTGCAACATCAGAGGCTTGCTTCTAAGGCAGTGTCTGGTGCATATCACTTGACATGGAGGCAGTCACCATCTTAAGTAAGACGCTTTTCAAGATTACTTTGCAGAAGCGATGAAGGAGCCCTCTTGCAAGTAAGGTGCACCAGTGGGGACCCGGATAACCCCCACTGGTCCAAAAGGTGGGAACTGGGCTACAGTGTCCTGTAGGGACTCAGCATCACATGGTACCATCGACCGCCTCGCCAGACAGATGTGTTCACCGGGCCTCACATAAACATTCAGGGATTGCAGGAGACTCCAACAATGAAATTGCACCAAAGAGACCTGGTGGGCATGAGGACTAGATAGGTCATGATACATAAGCATTTGGGCATACAGGTAGTTGATAAAATGGCTCAGTATAGAGTACAGGCTTGGAACTCAAAGGAAACGCATCCAACCACCATGCCGCCCCTGTGTAAGTCTGTTTATTATACTTTTATTCAATGCAATGTGCCAGCACTGAAGTTTTTTTGATGATGACATATAAACGATATTTATTTATAGTAAGTGATAATAAGAACACAGATCATGGGGGCTCCTAAATAGTGTACTTACCTCTAAATTTAAAAGAAAAAATGTTTAAACCAGAAATACCTGCAAATTAAACATCTTGGAAGGAGCAGTCCTTGAAACTGTATTTGAAGACATGAGGGTACAGCTGCCATTTCCAGACCTCAGCACGCTACAGGTTGTTAAAATTAAGGACAGCAAAGAGAGCACTCAGACATTCATAGGTGTTTGTTATCCTTAAAGAGTAAACATTTGCACTACATACAGCACAATGGATATCACAGATCCATCTAGTGGTCAAAAAACAGAAAGCAACATTAGACAGAAACATAGTCTTCCTGAGATCATACTATACTAGTGAGGCCATTAATATCTTCCTATCTGTCTATCAATTTGTCACTCAATTTAATTTTTTTTTCAATCATTTAGAAGATAAAGCCCCAAAAACGACATACTGGGCATTCGTTATTCATATTTCAGGGTGGGGGGTTATGAAAAATGTACTTAACGTTTGTTGCACAACATGAGTCTGGAATTATTAAAAATACTCCCTTTTTTCAACTAGCACAGACTTTCCCAGCCATCCGTGCTGGACGTGGCTCAATCAGAGCCATCAAAAAAAATAATAATAATAATTAAATAACATATAAGTAAATATTTGCCAGAGGATTCTTTCTTCTCTGAGCTGGCAGGATTGATCCAGAGTCTGATTTTTTTTGGAATTTTCATTATCTTCTGGCTCAGGCAGACATCAGGGCAGCCCTGTTAAAATGAATAGTTGCAGACAGATCTTATTGCAGACATTGTGGAACCTCGGAACTCAAACGTAATCTGTTCCAGAAAGCTGTTTGAGTTCCGATTTGTTCAAGAACCGAATCAAGATTTCCCATAAGAATTAATGTAAATTTGATTAATCTGTTCCAGACCCCCATAATTACAGCATTTTAACACAAATTTACAGTTTAATAATGCCTTAAATGCATAAAACCATATAGAAAATAATAATAATAATAAACACAATACAATCGTACAGTAAATGAAAAGAAAATGTAACTTCAATTTACCTGTAATGATGAGAGTTGATGGCGTTAGTGGAAAGAGAAGAAATATTATTGGTTGGATGGGGATAGGTAAGTGTTCTTCTGGCACATAAAATGTTTAAAGTGAGACATAGCTTTATAATTGAACATGTTTGTGGCATGATTTGATCAGGTACCAAGAATCATTGGTGTACTGAGACGGTTTTTTTTGGCAAATTTTTGTTCGACTACTGAATTGTTCGTGTAAGGAACCATTCGAGTTCCGAGGTTCCACTGTATTGGTTTCCTCTACTTCCACTTTGAATTAAAGTTCAAAGCAACTAAGGCAATACTGACATCTCAGAAGGTGTGACAAATGTATTTAAGGAAAGCAGAACACATTTACCCCCCACACACACTCTTGTGGATGAGGTAAAAGGGTTCAGACCAGTGGGGCCAGGCCTATAAAGGCAAGCCCACCTGAAGAACTGTCAAGCCAGCTTGGTAAATGCACAACAGACTCTCAGGACAGGATCCTAAAATTGGGGACGGTTTGGAGGCCGGCATTAACTTGGCTCACCATTGATAAATTCAAGTAGTCTGAGAAAAGAGACATCTTGCTATGCTAATTTCAGACAGTTTTGTAACTTTTTTTTTGATAATTTTAGATAGTTTTCTTGGATTCCTCTTGGTAAGCACACATCACTGTTTATGAATTTCCAAGGCTTTTTGTTTTTTTCTTTGACTACTTTTGAAGTGTATTATAGTAGGCTTTGCTTCGATGCAGCATGCACATTTGTCGTGCCTT